ATCCACAAAGCCCGTGCGTGTCGATGAGGCTCCTGTTTCTGCCGGGCCAACCGATAGGCCCGACTTAATTCAGTTTAGAACGGACTCGTAACAGAATTAGCAGCGTGGAGAAATCTTCTCATTTTGCGGAAATAACCCCACACCTTTTTTTGCTTTTCTAGCGGATGTTTTCAAGAACTCTTTTAGCAGGTATAGAGTCACTGAACGTATGGAACGGAAAAAGTGAGGCTGCATTGAGCGATAGGCGGATAGCATCTCGCTCACTGCTTTCATTTGGTGAACGTTAGATATCAAGGAAGGGAAACTACGGGCCTATAAATGTTTGTTAAGCAATGTGCGGAAGCTATTTTAAGTTTTAGCTGCAGAAGGATATGAGGACACTAGTGCGCTTTACAGCTGTTATGCTCAATCCAAGTGGCAAACGCTCATTACAGAGGTTAGAGAAAACAAAAAGGACACACACACACACACACACACACTGCTGTATCGAAATGTGTCAAACCGTAGTTCGTCCCTGTTACTTTGATGTCCCACGCGTATTCTCACCTGGATGACGGCACTGAACCAGCAGGTGTTGCCGACGTTGCGGATGCCCACGGGCCAGTCGTCCTGACGGATCCAGTCTGCAGGGCTGCACATCTCGCTCTGGGCTTGGCATCGCTTCCTCTTCATCCTCGCCGCATTCTCCTCTGCACTGGCCTCCAGAGCCCTGCGGTGCATCAGAATCACCCGTTTGAAGTGCTCAGGTTGACTTAGTTAAGACTGTGTCGTGAGAATAGTTTTAATAATAAACCTAATATTTTATGCGGGTATTTGGTCATTACTCAAGGTATTTTTTTGTCCGACAAAAAACAGGGCTTCACATTATTATTCCTTGTGTGTAAACCAGGTTGTGCAAATGGTTGATTAAAAACTAATCTGCAAGTGTGAAATCAGCTGATCATTAATGACACTGCGGAATGTCACGGCAACCGATCCATTATTTCTGGTATTGAGATATTTTCTGTGGTGGCTGTGTGGCTATGAACTAAATGTTCCTGTTTTCAGCTTTTAGCCCATTTTTTTTGACCTTGTTATCAACAGGGCTTTGGGTTGATTGATATACATGCAGACAATATAAAACATCTGAGTCTTTCAAGTCATCCATGTTCGCTGTTTCTAAGGGAAAAGTCATGCTAAATATACTATCTCCCCTTTCATACTTCCATTCAGCGGTAAATCAAAAATGACAAAGAAGCATTGCATGAAAAGAGGGTTGTTTTGTACCTGTTAAACTCTCTCTCCTCTTCCTGGGCCTTGTGGGACTCCTGCAGGCTGAGTTCAATGGCTGTCTGCAGTTCATCTTTCGGAGGTCCTGAGAAATCAGACAGCAGCGTGTCAGCAAGATCCCGAAATGGAGGTAAAAAGTGTTTCAATTGGCCACAACAGATTATAAAGCTATTTATCAAACTTTATCAAAGTCATCTTCTATGATGTCGACTAACTTTACCCCTCTTGTCTAGATTCTAGAGAACTTCTATAAAGGAAAAGTTTCAAGCTCAGATAACAGAATCAGAGTCAGAAGAGAACTTTTCCAAAACAGACACAAAATATAAAAGCCTCAGTATCCTTCACACAAAATGCATGTGGGATGTGGGATGTACTGTAAATCCAAATGTTATATCAAGGGGGTTTCATATGACATATTTTGTGATACTCTGAAAGAGATTTGAAAAATCTCAGCTAGCCGACATGGAATTTCGCCTGGCGTTTGGGGTCTTTATTCACGCTTGGTTTTTTTTTCCCCCAGCGTACCTTTCTGGCCGTCCCAGGCCTCTGCAGAGGGCCCCGGCTCCTGGGTTTCTCCAGGATCCTGGACCTCTGCAGGTTGGGTGGTCAGCAGTCCCACAGCGTTTCCAATGTCCCCCTGGCTGGCCTTAAGGAGACGGCACAAGGAAAAGATAAGGCCACAATGTTCTAAGACGTTACTGATCTGTCCAGAAGATTTAGCAAAACAATACACCGCAGGGACAAAACAAGCAAATGTGAAACGCTTGCAAATAAAAGCACGGCACCCGCTGAGTAATAACAGTAATGATGATACTACAAGCACGTACGTAAATACAGTCACGCCTAATTAAGGGAATACAGCAAAATAAATCCCTTGTCGTGTCGGAAAGCGGCAGCAGACAAACATTTCTAATTTTGTAAAGAAACCTCCCCGAGCTGCGAGCTGCTGCTGTTCCTCTGTCTGCCCCCCCCCGGTGCCACGCGTTGGATGAGGCCTGCACACCACAGACAGCCAGACTGTTTATCGTCCCGCTCGTCAATTATCACTTTTATGAGGCTCCTGTTTGCTCGAGCTACGAGGGATCTTTTCACTTGTGCAGTTGTGTTTCAAAACATAAGCGGCGTGCCGGGGGTGGGAACGAGGCCCCCCGGCCGTGTGCTTTTAATGTAATCAAAGAGGGTTCCTTTAACATTAATTACACAGTAACAGCGAGGGCTGTGTTCTCTAGCCAACTAGCAGTATGGCTCTCGGAATGAATTCCTGTGACATTTTGAACAGACTTTCATCTCCACAGGAATTGTCATTACGCATCTAATAACATGTTTGGGCTCACAACATGATGAATTAGTCCCCAAATACCATTCTCTCTCACACTCTCCTCCGGCTAATGTTTGCATTTAATAAACCACGGCTGCCTTAGGCTCAAATAGTAACCTGAACTTGGTAAATGTCCCCTATGTCACAAAGGCGTTGAGGACGAGTGTGATTGCTGTAAACTAAATTAAAGCAAAGAGGAGTTGGATTGTATCTTAATCGGTTTATTCATAAGTATTCTTACAGCATACTGTAGGAATTGACATTTTGTTTTAACTAAAAGGGCCTTTTGGTCAGCGGGAATGACTCAGTTGCTATGAAGGCCATTCCATGGCTTGCATCCTTACAAAATAACCTCACGGTGCCTCATGGTGGAGCCGCCACACAATGTTTCCGGAAAGAGTTCTAAGGTCTTACATTCAAAGCTCTGTTGAGAACCTGGGGGTCCTGGATGCCAGTGATCTCCCTCAGCTGGTCGATCAGGATCTTGCTCTGGCGAGTGAAAAGATCGGACAAAGGGAAACAACAGTCAGGCGTGAGATATACTAGCAGCTAACGCGTGGTACACACATAGTTCAGCTTAGCCATGGACTGGCATTAGACTCTGGGCCGACCATTCGGGCCGACCACATGGACTGGGCCCCCGAGAGGGTCTACCCTTTGGGTTCAGGGGGGGTATTATGGGGTCGGGGTTAGCCGGTGACCCGCAGACACACGTAGGATCTATATGGAGCTCAAGGACAAAAGTCCAAATGCCAACATTGTCTATGCCTTTACGAGGTCCACACGTCGTCTGGCGGATGGACCTGGCTTAATGACACACAGACAAATTCCTCTACGTAAGTAAGCAGCATTAAGCAAATTATATTGGAAATATGATTCATCGCTTTGCTTACAAGGGTTTGATGACAGGATTCATAATCACGCCCATCGTATGTGCGGAAGAATTCCTGTAGGAATACAATAGTCAAGCACATAACCCCCTCATAAAGGGAATAATTGTCATATTCCCCTCAGGCTTTGTTTTTTACCCTCTATTTACTGCACAAACTAACTATTCCTTTAATATGAGTTATTGAAAAGTCAAAAGGGGCGTTTCTTTACTACGAATGGTCTCTTTGTATTTTTCTAACGTACACAGATCTGTTTGATCCCACCATTTGTTCTCCAACCCTATAATAAATGAATTGGGGAAACCACATTTGTAAACACAACCTCTCAAAAGCCCGTCATATGTTTAGACCTCATGGACATGGAAGTACTGAAAAGCAATAACATAAAGACTGCTGAGTGAGAGGCGCTATATAGAGCCTGCTACCCCAACAACAGGTGGACATGTCAGGGTGTCTCTCTCCCACACACACACAGACACACACAGAGGAGGCCAGGAGCCGGCTGACCAGACTTATATGGAGCTCACTGGCTATCTGAGACCCTCTGAGTTCGCCTCTATTTTGGGCCCCTGACATGGATAGCGCAGGCTTCTGTTTATCATTCCACTCACCATGCCACCAGACCCGAGTGATGCCAAGGCACAGGGGCTCTCTCTCACACACACACACACACACACACACACACACACACACACACACATACGTCAATACCAAAAAAAAAAAATGAGGTAAAGAAATGGTATCATAACACCATTAATCCTGACTTTTAGTAGATGGCGTCGTTAGAAGCTGAGCTCAATGACTGGCTGGACCGGCTGGTTAGAAAGGCCTATTGATGGAGCAGTGGGCTGATTGAATGGCTGCATACAGAAATACTGATTGGAGTGACACTAGAATAACCTGGTTATTTAAGGGAAGATGGTGCTGATGATTCATGTGTCCGATGAGAGTAGCAATGGAGAACATCAGATGTGAAAGATTTCATTTCTCAAACCGTCTATCATAATGGCTGAATCCTTTAAACCGAATGGCAATCATTTAGCAAGCAAATATACACAAAAAAATTAAGCTTTGTAAATATATCAAATAATAAATTTGAAACAGCCAGGTCATAATTTAGTTGGAATTCCACTGAAACACAAGCTTTTACTGCCGAATTCACGAGCATTTTCTAAAGATTATGTTATTTCCGCAACGTATTTCTCTACTCTATGTTCGAATAAAACGACGTTACAACTTTCTTTCAAACTCAGTATTTGTACTAGAGGTTTGGCCTAGTGTCACTAGTTCTCACCGACATCGCTGAGTTTTCTCCATCTTCAGTCTGTTCACCTCTCATGGCGGATAAAAACTGGGGGGGCAAATACGTGAGTTTCTTCCTGTTTTTCACCACTCGCTCTGAGCCCTCGGTCCGGGTCCGGGTCTGGTTCTGGGTCTGTTTCTGGGTCCGGGTTCGGGTCCGACCTGCTCCATCTGTCAACCGCGGAGAACGAGGAGGAACCCGCGGCGCGCGCACACCTGTTAGGATGTGCGCGCGCGCGCGATGGCTGAGGCGCGCGCTCTCTGGCGCAATTAACGTGACAGGACAGTTCTTAATATACTACAGTACTTCCGGTGTTTGTGGAGTCTTTCCTCATTAACCGGATCCTTTTACAAAATCCCTGTAATGTAAATACACGTAATTAATTATAGCCCAATAACCATAGACATGGATCTGAAATGGTCCATTCTGCATAATGAGTACTTTTGGTACTTTTAATATAGAAAAAAATGAATATCACATATCAATAATATCGGTAACATGACCATTGGTACAGCTGAATTCCTTTTGCTTTTACTAAAGTAAGATTTTGAATGCAGTCTATGTGCCCTGTCCTCACTTTTGGTATTTTTTAAGCTTTGTGATCTTGATTTTAAATGTTGGGGATGTTCCGGGTGAACTGTAAGTACGAGATGCTCTACAAGAAAGGAGAAGAAACAACTGCCATGGCATCCATGGCATCCAACGCATGGGTTATAAACCCCTTTCCAATGACAGATACCTATAAGTGTTTATACTCCTCTCAGATGAAGCAATACACAGGCACTAAACAAACCTTCAGGGACTCGTTATTGTATCACCTTACCCTCCCTCCCCACACTGAAAAATCAATACCAGCGCAACCCAAATGTCTGCACAGCACCGTTTATTGTTCTTCCCCTACACCGAGCGCCGCTTCTCTTAAAACTTTGGATATCTTTGTAATAACAGAGGAGCTGTTTTGATGTGACATCTGAATTAAACTGGTCGTTTGGAAGGCTGATTTCTGGTAACTTGATGTCTCTCATTTGGCTCACTCTGTTGCTCTCAGGTAAGCTGCTCTCTTTGGCTAAAGATACAAAACAATTGCATCTCCTTACAGCTAGTATGAGGTATTTGTTTCTCCTTTGTAAAATGCTCCATCGAAATAAAGCAAACTATAAAAGTATTTGGAACTTTTGAACATAATTGTTTGCTCTTTCTAGGGTTGCAGCTCTATGCCATATTATTTTACTTAAATTTACTTTTCATTCAGTTCTGTCACAGATTCAGTTTCAGCAATTCTTTGATTTTACCTTGTTGTAAAATGTATTGTGTAACATCTTAAAACTCAATGCATTTGAAGCACAGCAACCACCATTGCAAGCAAATATATATTTTTGTATTAAAGCTTTAGAACTGTTAAGCAAACAAAGCCTCCATGTAAAGTGTTTTGCCTTTAAAAAATCCCTACTGATAAAAGTATAAACTATATATTTTTAACTATTATTTTTATAAGGTATATTGATGTATACCTACATTGATGTAAAAATGTGATTATTTCTTAATCAATACCCCCCACATTTTGCACCAGTATGAACTGTAACATATCGAAGGAAGTAACCGATTCATCCCCCAACCTTTCAGCAAGGCTGGAATAACTGCACGTTTCAGTTATGCGCTTGGTCACTAAAACAAATGAGCAACTACTCAAATTACCGGCACGTTGCCACACAATTAATTTGGAGCTGGTTTGGGGCCCCGTGGTCGCGCTCCACACAGGAAGTTATCTAGATTTTTTTTCTTTCAGCAGCTCACCTGGCTGAATGTGTGCCGGAAAAGCAGAAAAGATCGGCTCTGAACCAGCTGACCAGGACCCTCCTCAGGAAATATGACTGCGGGGTTCGACCTGTCCACAACTGGACCAGTCCGACCGTTATATACATAGACCTCATACTGCAGTCCGTCCTTGATGTGGTATGTGGATCCAATATGATAAATGTCCACACCTCAATATGAAATCCTCTATTATGCATCATCAAGGTGTTCTCCTTTCTGCAGGACGGAAAGACTCAGAGCATAACCACAAGCATTTGGTACAGACAGGTGGGTAGTATCTCACTTCCCTTTTGGATTCTTATGGTGAAGCTTCAGGGGACAAGCCTCGCCCTCTCTGAAAAAACACATTTTTTAAATCAGAACAACGATCTACCTCCTCAGTGACTGACTTTCACGGCTTTAAAATACTTAAAAAACATGGTGGATTTTCAACTGAACATTTTTTGACTATTTAAATTATGTGACAAATTTACAATAACTAATGTATATGAATGATGTAGTATTGATTGTATTACACTTCATGATCACAAACCTGTGCAATATAAACACCGTTTTTTGTCTGTATACATATAATATATTTCCATATAATATCAGTTAATGTGGATATATATATATTTTTTATTACTGCTTATTTGTTTAGTTGTAGTTATTTGTAATCGTAGTATGTCTCTGTGTTACCCTTCCGCCATGGGACCAATACAAGGATTACCTTATCTTATAGGCAGTAAAGTTGAATTTGAATTAATTAGGGATCATGCTCTCTTTTTAAATAGATATATAACATACTCATACAGAAGACATCCTCCTGTCCTTTCAGATCTGGACAGATGAGTTCCTGGTTTGGGACCCGGAGGAGTTTGACGGTATAAATGAGATCTCACTGTCATCCGACGCCATCTGGATTCCTGACGTTATTGTTAGTGAATTGTAAGAAATGACAATCTCTTCAAAATATTCTAGTCAAAGTTCCCAGTCTGATTAATGTCTAAATCAAAGTCAAGGATTTTGGAACGTGTTTGTCAACTTTTCAAGTAGCTATTGACCTCCATTGATTTCAGTTAACTAAAGAATTCCGCTTGCAGAGGCCTTGACCTAATGCTGTGGGCCCAGAGCAGTCAGCCGTTAAATGAAAGCAAATATGAGTAATATATAAAAGTGTCTTTCTTGCTCCCCACAGAGCTTTAAAAGTATATAAATCTGCATTTTGATGAATAACGTAGACGGTCTAACATATATAAACCAGAATTGCCGCCTCGCGGTCATAGACTGTGCCTCAGCCAACCAGTGAAGTTGCAATTTAAATTCACCACCATCTCTGTTCAAAAATGTCATCGGCCCCTAATTCCCCCCTTTGAGATATTCAAAGGAAATTTACATTAATTGCAAATTAATTATTCAGCTATGGCGGAAAAGGGCTTTTATGAGGTCGCAGTGACATTTCGCTCCAAATTCCAATCAGGTGAGATTTAGGGCAACTCTCCTACATATTTGTGTTAATTATAATAAACGGAGGAATGCGATCATTCCTGTGTCACTTGGACCTCTAAAATGGCCGCCTGACGACCCGCTCTCCCCCGTGTGTGTTCCCAGTGTGGACGAGGGGAAGTCCCTACCGATCCCCTATGTGTACGTGAACTCCTCTGGCTCGGTCAAGTACTACCGACCCATGCAGGTGGTGCTGGCCTGCAGCCTGGAGATGTACGCCTTTCCATTTGACAAGCAAAACTGCAGCCTCACCTTCCGCAGCTGGCTGCACTCAGGTGGGTTACCTGCCTGCATCAGGTGGTCTGTAAGCCCGTTCAATCACAACTTCCTGCAACTTTCCTAGAATCTTTAGGGGAGATAGAAAAAAACAACAACACTCTTCACCTCACAATTGCACAGAGCTTTCAACCGTCTTCATCAGAAAATGAAGCATGTTGTGTAATTAGACTCCCGCTCAGAAGGAAGGGCTAAATATTTATTTATATATTCAGTGACTTCCCAGTGCCTTCGTGTATTCAAATATGAATTTTTACATTCTGGCCCGAGGTAAATGTGTGTTTTCCCATCAAAATGCTAATTTCCCATTACCATTAAAACGATGAAAATAAAGATCAACCATTAAACATTTTTTTAAGCTGAGAGTAGAATAACTGAGTAACTAATAACTAAGTTGGCCTGAGCCACATGAGAACGTGGGCTCGGTTTAGCACTCTATATTATACACTACAGCCAGCAGTAAAGTATTTGTTTAACCTACTTGTAATGCACTACATTGGCATACAGCAACTCTAGTTTATGTTTATATTAAGTCCTATAAATATAGCATACACTTAAAACTGATTTTCTTGTTTTTGGAGGCAAAATTCACATTCAAATTCCAATTCACCTTGTGTAGATGTCTTTGGACCCTACAATCCATTCAAACAGTGTGTGTGTGTGTGTGTGTGTGTGTGTTTACTGGGAGGCGAAAGAGATGGGAAATTTACCGCTTTCCCCTTTTTGTCCTTCGTTATGTCTCCCACTCGCAGTGAAGGAAATAGACCTGGCGCTGTGGAGGAGTGCAGAGGCCATCGCTAATGATAAGAGGGAGTTTATGAACGACGGAGAATGGGAACTGTTGTCCATCCCTTCAAGCTACTGGCAAATCCGCCAAGACGACACCAGCTACGCCCACATCCAGTTCAATGTACGCGCCTCCACGTCTCAATCACGCCACATTAACGCAGAGGGAGTGATTTGAACCAGAGGGTTAAAGTAATGTCAGAGAGTTGCTCTGCACGGTGATTGCTTATCGATGGTGAGATCTAAACTGTAGCCTCTCTGTGTGTTAGACCCCCCCCCCCCTCCACGCCACGCGGGGAGATTGTAAAGTGTAGAGCAATTGGCCGCGACCTTCATGGATCGGGCTCGTGGGCTAATGCCAAATGATGGGACTGTGTGTGTGGGGGGCGGGGGGGCTTGTGGCAAAGAGACGGATAGAGAGGGAGGCTGATAGACAGGGGAGGGTGAGCAGCCTTAATGAGACTGTCTCAGTGGCTGCCTGATCAATGGACTTCTTGTTAGTGGCGAGGGAAATGGCCCCGTGGCCCATCGCAGGTGGAGAGCAGGGAGGGCAGCAATTTATTCAGCGGAAAGAGCCAGAAGAGGCCGTCTGATAATGGAGCATTTCATGGCTCGCTGCGATGCTGTTACGCTGTGGCAGTGTTGTTGCTATGTCACACGAAAGATGTCTCTGGCGGCGAAGGCCCATGTTGGCTTCCAGATCTCAATTGGTATTATTTTTATTTGACCCAAACCAGCCGGGGACGACAGCCATGTCGTCACTAAGACCGATGAAAGCGGCACGATCTGGATGGCAAGACACACCTGGAGGAAACGTTATTAATGAATGAACGATATCATTTCGTCGTCTCATCGGACGACGGCCTCTTTGTGTGCTCGGCCTTTTCCGCTGCAGGTGTTGATCCGCCGGCGCCCCCTGCTGTACGTGGTGGGCCTCCTCATCCCCAGCATCTTCCTCATGCTGGTGGACGTGACCAGCTTCTACCTGCCTCTGAGCAGCGGCACGCGCATCGCCTTCAAGATCAGCATCCTGCTGGGCTACACCCTCTTCCGGGTCAACCTGACGGACGAACTGCCCGCCACAGCGGTCAATACTCCACTCATCGGTGTGATATTTCCCCGATTCCGCCTGTATCTTTGATCGTTTTGGTTTTATTTCCCTTTTTTTTAGTTCCAATTGTGTTTATTTTATACATGTGCAAATTGACGGTGCTTGGGGTTAGGGTTACCCTCTTTGTTACAGTTTTTGCAAGCACAAAGGAGATTAAAATGACTTTAGAATGACATAAATAAACTCAACTGAGCAGGCCGACTAGTCTGTATCATAAATAGTTTAAAAGGAATGAAAGGGAACAAGAACTCAGAATGTGTACTGAGTGCTCTGAATAGCTTTAAAGGATCTGACTGTTGATTTTATGTATTACGTACAGTACCAGTCAAAAGCTTGGAGACACTTTCACGTTGAATTGAATGACAAAATGCGTCCAAACGTTTTACTGCTGCTGTATATACTATGTCACCAAAAGGAACAGCTATACTCCAGTAATCAATAAAGACAGCTATAAACAAAACGTAATTAATACTCCCTTTTGCACCAAAACAATCAATGATGCCAACATCCGATACATGTGATATCTGTTTTGCCTCCCGTCTCCCAGGTGTGTTCTTCGCTGTGTGCATGGCGATGCTGATGCTCAGCCTGATCAAGTCTATTCTGGTGGTGAAGCTGCTCCACCACAGTGAGAAGGAGGCCAGGCAAATGTCGGTGTCGGCCTGCCTGCTGGACAAGTACGGCTCAGCCGCTCACAGCTTCACAGAGAGCGCTCTGACCTCCGTCAGGACGCTCGATCGCATCAACGGAGGTGAGCCGCGAGCTCAGAGAGCTTTCCAGTTTCTAACCTTGAACATGAAGGCGAGACGCTTGAAAGCGCTCGGTCACGTGAAGCCGCGCGGCCGCAGTTCTGTGCTTCTTATTGGGACATCATCTCAAGGCTAAGATGACTTTTAAGAGACTTTATGTTGTAAAACATTGCAATAATATTTAAATCCCATCTGAGAGTTTTCCATCAATGATAAGAGGAGGAAGAGCGATCCGTACCAAGCTAAGCCCTTTGGAAACAACCAAAATACTGTTCAGAGAACCTGTTAATTTTTAACCAATATTCATTGTTCCCATTCCAAAGCAGATTATGAGTTTGACGCCTCGCTGGAGGAAGATCTGCTGTCCCTGAATGAGATCCCGGAGGTTCCATCTGGGCTGGAGTGGCTTCTGCAGGAGCTGGTTTCCCTCCACCTGGCCTTCTCCCAGGAGGACAGCGAGTCTTCCGCTCAGGCCGAGTGGCTGGCCCTTTGCTCCAAGCTCGACTGCTTCCTGTTCCGCTTCTACCTGTTGGTCCTGGCCTCGTACGCCGCCACGCTGCTGATGCTCTGGGCCAGCTGGAGCTTCGCCTGACCGCGTTGTCAAGGACTTAATGATACTGGGAAGGAACTTTTTGTTTATGATGTTCGTTTTTTCTGTTTCAATGCAAAGACAGGGATGCAGAATCATTATTGCGGACGAGTGTATTTAAAATCTGCTTCAAAAAGAGAAATGTTTTATTTCGACAAAAGTTATTGATTAGAGTAGGATACACTTTATACTATGTGACAATATTTAACCATGCTGTTAAAATAGACTGCATCATTTCAATGAACCTCTTACCTTTGTGGGGTTTTCTTCTCATGTCATTGAACATTCACATCTGATGATTAAGTATGAAATCCACCTTTAAACTCAATTGAATGCGTACACAAGATCATTTTGGTTATCAGTTAAGGGTTTGATTTATCGTTTATTTTTTATCTATATCCCCGTTCCCAAATCTCAGCGGAGATCCTTTTACCTACGCTGCCTGCCCAACCTCCACATTACAGATATTACATTGCCACCGTAGAGCAGCAGTACAGTTCGAGATCGTTTCGCATCTGTTATCATGAATTCTCGACAGTGAAGATTGACTCAGAGATAACGCATAATGAAGCAGCTCTCTGGGGAAAAACCTCAGTGCCCGTGTGATGTGATGATACTGTATTCACACTTTAATCTCCATCCCACTGCCGCAAAATAGATCAATAAAACCCATCCAGAGCTCAGCTGCCGCTTCTCCGTTCCCTGTTGGTTTCCTAATAGTCATGAACAGAATATCAAAAGGGCGTCACAGCAAACTTTCCAGTGGAAAGATCTATAATAACGCAATTTTCAGTGTCTGCAGATCTCTTCTTCCAGTGGATCTGGTTACACGATGTTGGGCAACTAAGCCGAAGATGCATGTTTAGTTAGGACTTTGCTCCTGTCTGTATGAGGTAACATATGTCTTTATTTGGGGTTCAAAAGCTTGCTGTGAGTATGAGTGTCTCACAAGAGGGATCTGCTTTCTCCAAATAAAAGAAAATCCCATAAATGTATTTGTGTGAAGTGAAGTGAAAATAAAAGCCTGAAACCAACCAGAAACCTGCCTGCTCATATTTCTCACATCCACAAAGTCATATTAACATTACGGAAGACAGCTATGAACCCTCGGGGGCCGCAGTGTTCATGTTCGCTGTAATTGAGAAGCTGAAAAAGCCGGTTGAACAAACATTGTGTTTGACGTTCAGGAGTTGTGAACGAGAGCGTTACAGACGGCTTCTCAGTTCTTCTGAAACACATCGGCTGTTATTCAGCCAGGCACAAACAAATCCAAGGAGAGCCTGGCGAGCCGCGATACAACCCGAAAGATAAATAGCCACAAATTCTCCAACACTGGTATCCTGTGAAGAAGCAGCACAATAACGGCCGTAGAGTCACTTACGTTGGAGATGTTCAGGGGTCTACATCCCTTTGGCCATGTTGTCAACTAGCAATGATACATTATTTCCTTTTAGTAAAGACAAAATTGAAAGCCTTCGATATGCATTGAAGGCATACTGAAGGTTTTGTGTGATAAAAGGGCCGTAAACGCCGAAACCTTCCCTGTCAGTAAGTTAGTCGAGCCTTTGGCCTAACGGCCTCTTAATTGTGCCGAATCACTGCAACGTACCGGCCTGATGTTGGCGTGCTATTCAATTAGATGATCACTCAGACGTGATATACGATCCGGTCACTAGCTTTCATCTCTGCAGTCTTTTGGGGCTCCATTTACCTCAGAGAGGTTATTGAACACGGAGGAGTGGAGCTAACAAGGTTTCCGAAAGCGGATGCAGGCGCAGCGACGGATAAGGCGGATGGATACGGAGGATATGGGCGTGAGGCATCCCGTGGCCTCTCATCAGACTTCCACAGCGGCGGGGAGCGGACGCAGGTGAACCGGCGCCATGAGACCGACGTGGGCCTGGACAGCGCTCGTCTTCCTGCTGGTTCAAGGAGCATCAAGAGCCTGCACAGGTACAGCAGCTCCTGTCTTACAGCCTTGTCTCCAGCGTAGGACTCTTATTCGAGTCGTACTTTTAATTGTTGACTGTGTGGTATGACTGCAATATTAGACTTAATTACTCATGAATTTGGGATTTTATTTTTCAATCAAGACAGAAGCTTATGAGGTCTTTTCGGAAAAAATCATCTTGACATTAGATGTTGTGAGAGTAAAGAGAAATTAGACAAAAAAGAAAAGAATTGAGAAAAAAGCACAAAAAAGCATAGTATTAATAATAATATTACTACTACTGTAACAGCAATAACATACCATGTACATGTTTCTTTTTTAATGTAAAGATAAGTGGATTCAGGCAACATCTTTTGGGATTAACACCATTATGTATGCAGTTTTAATATATAGATGTTGCATTTTTGTTGTTTTGTTTGATTTGTTAGTCAATATAAATGAGGAAGACGTTTTGCTACGTTGTGCTGTCTAGAAAAGGTTCATCTTTTATCAACAATCTGCCCGATTTAGAGTGAATTAAACATTGATATAATTGTATCACTGCTGAATCCAACACGGATTCCTCTATTGATTCCCTTATCAATTCCCGTTAACGTATTAAGTGGTAAAAATATTCACATTAGTGCATCTAACAAGATAGATTTTTTTATTCAAACATTTTCAGTGAAGAAACTGGGCAGCAGCCCAGGAAGATTTGCCAACGCCACATTAGTGCGGCTGTCTGAGTTTTTGAGCGCGGGGTATAAGAAGGGGGTGAGACCCGTGAAGGACTGGAGGACGTCCACACTAGTGGCCATCGACCTCATGGTTTACTCCATCCTCAACGTGGTGAGTTACACACTTCTCCACCTGCCAGCAGTAAACTCTGATGCACATATTGTGATTTCTTTAAAAACTTGGCCGCCAATATTGAGCAGACTGTCGTCTTATGCTGCTATTAACACCACCAGGCCCCAAAATGTACTGTGTGGTAATATGATTGAACACATTATTTGAAATACATGGCCTCCAGATTAACAAATAAAGCCACCAACCATATGTTGTATTGTGCTTCTATTAAGTGATGCTGGAATGAGTCCTAAAAGACAGAAGAGTCATTTTGTTCCCAAAGGAGGAACATCTGCATTTTATTCGACGATGTTTTTTTGTCCACGTTTGAAAATAAATGATTTTTCTTAATAATCAGTTTTGATAACCTATGAAGCACCTCTCATTAGCCCACTAATGCATTACTTACATTACCACATTACTTTTTTGAAACCGTGCAGAAATACCACGTTTTAACGGAACAAATATGCCTGAACAGGATCCAGCATTCAAATGGTGATTAGGAATTCAAATGAAAGCTTGAATTAAACTTGGAAATATTCTGTGTTTAGCCCCGGGGTGTAAAATATTATTAGGACGCTTCTGGCTCTATCGTAGCCTATAATCTTTTATTGTTATCTGACTGTGGTTTTTTAGGCCTGTTGGCTGCTCTCTGAAAGGTGTGCGTCAGACTAATAAGCATTTTATGGGAAAAAGGGGGTCACATGGTCAAAAGGTAAAACTAGACTTACAATTCCATTATATAATAATTATTAAGCCCGTAAACAAGCTTTATTAAAAATAATCCAATTGACATTTGGGTTTTACATTTAAATGCAATCAGCACAACGTAAAATGAATAAATGACATTTCTTAATAATTTGTGTCTCCACCACAGGACGAGAAGAACCAGGTGTTGACAACGTACGTATGGTACAGACAGGTGAGGCAAAGACCAACATGTACATGTGCATTAATCCACTATCAAATATTTCACCCATCGAACAAATATGTTATGATAATTTAGCTGCTTCCTTTCACCGCTTCAGGCCTGGACGGATGAATTCCTGGTGTGGAACCCAGAAGACTTTGACGAAGTCAAACAGGTGTCCATACCCACAGCCAACGTGTGGGTGCCTGACATCCTCATCAACGAGTTGTAAGAGCCTCTTCTGCCCCCCCCCCCCCCCCCCTCCCTCCCCCTCACTATCTGCCTTTGCTCCGCCGACGAGTCACCGCGGAAACGTTTGTCTCCCACGTGCACAGCGTGGACGTGGGAAAGTCCCCGGACATCCCTTATGTCTACGTGACGCACGACGGCCTGGTGCGCAACTACAAGCCCATCCAGGTGGTCACGGCCTGCACTCTCAACATCTACAACTTCCCATTTGATGTCCAGAAGTGCAGCCTCACCTTCCAGAGCTGGCTGCACACCAGTAAGACAACCGCCACGCTCAACTCTAAACAGCTGCTTTCTGGTCTGAATACATAAATAAATGCATGTGCATTTGCTCGTTTATTGCAAGACATATTTTGTTTTTGTTGTATTGTATTTTACAATTTAATTATTTTAATTATAATAGTTTCACAAAGAGAAAACAGAGGAGACATTATTCCACCAATTTACAGAAAACACTAAAAGCCATGTTGTAATAAACCCCACTTTGCTGTATTTCTTTGTTACAATTTTGTTTTACGAGTCCCTTCCACACAGTGAGGCTTACCAACACTGGTGTTAGATGTTCTCATTAAGACCCGAGTGAGACAACCGCTCTGTTCCCCCCCTGCTGTGACACGCACCGAGAGAACCCGAGAGAGGGGGGGCGTTTCACGCTGCTCTCTACATTGTGTTCGATCCGCAGTTGACGACATCAACATCACCCTGATGCGAAGCCCCGAGGAGCTCAGGGAGGACAAGAGCGTCTTCATGAACCAAGGAGAGTGGGAGCTGCTGCACATACTGTCCAACTACAAGATCTTCAGTGTGGACAACGACGACTATTATGCCGAGATGAAGTTCCATGTGAGCATTTGAAATCACGATTTTGAATAGCTACAATAAACAAACAGGTTAAACAGACCTTTGGCTTAAAGGACAACACAAGGCCCAGAACTATTGGGCAGATGGATACATTTATATGTTCACAATTTTCTTTTCCCCAGTTTCTTTTTTGTTTTATATGCTAAGCTAAGCCAACGCTTGTCCCGCCTCCTTTCCCAGCAGACGTTTTGACGTGATTTAAAACCTTTTTCCCAGGTGGTGATCCGGCGGCGGCCGTTGTTCTACACTGTGAACCTGCTGCTGCCCAGCATCTTCTTGATGGTGATGGACATTGTGGGTTTCTATCTGCCGCCAGACAGCGGAGAGAGGGTTTCCTTCAAGATCACTTTGCTGCTGGGCTACTCGGTCTTCCTCATCATTGTATCCGACACTCTGCCTGCCACTGCCATAGGAACCCCTCTGATAGGTGACCCAGGTGTATTACTGCTTACCAGTGGTTTGGATTCAGAATATATCTTATTTAAGATGAGTCCTGCAGAGACAGATTGTGCAAAAAAAAAACAACAACCAGTCATTTCAGTATTTTTAAAGGCTGGAGACGATGGAAGGCAGGGACACATCCTGGGTGTCTTTAACAGTATAACACTTGAATTCATGCTCAATCCAACTGATTATTGAAGGAAGGTGAACGCACATGCAAAAATAGCCCAACCTCCTACCTACTGAAACTCAGTCATTTAGAAATGTATAAAGTATGGAGCAAAATTCCGCTGCTATATCTGCTTTTGTAGAACATCTATGGGGGGGATCATCATCACCCACCTTGTCTGTCTTCACCGGTGCTCTAGGTGTGTACTTCGTGGTCTGCATGGCCCTGCTGGTGATCAGCCTGACCGAAACCGTCCTCATTGTGCGTCTGGTCCACAAGCAGGACCTGCAGCCCCCCGTGCCTCAGTGGGTGAAGTACTTGGTGCTGGAAAGAGCTCCGGTCCTCTTCTGCATCCACAAGAAGCACAGCCTGTGCCCCACGCTGTCCTCCCAGGGCACCGATCTGGAGCAGTACAAGGACAACAACTACGGGACTGGTGAGCAGGGGAAGGCACGTGAAGGTGCATGTGTGCATGTGAAGCGAAGGTTGATCCAAATGACCTGCCTGGATGGAACAAGTGTGGCGTGTTGTCTGTGATGATTTTGCAGATACATCCAATGCTTCCTCAGTAATTACATACAAAAACTTCACTATACATTTCCGTCATCCATTTCTATCATTTGCTGTTGCAAATTCATGGTCAGCTAAATGCACTTTTTAGGAGACAGAGACGGGTGAACAATTAATCAGCAGTAGCGGAGCCGAAAATGAAAAGTCAATAAAGTCGAAAGGTTTTTAACCCCGTTCAATCAAGAGCGACTTTGACATTTCTGTGGAGGTTTACTCTTCTAATTCCACTCGAACAAAGGTTATTCTCTCTGAAACCTCACACCTATCTCAATGGAAAACTTGCAAAATGAAGCCCATCCTCGTTCTCGCCCCGCAGCTCAGTGCCCCCTCCACCACACCTGCGAGATAGGCCGAAGGCTCAGCCACCACGACAGAGAGGGCCGGCTCCTCGGCCTGGGCCTGCCGCCGTCCAGGGACCCCGGCCCGCCCGTCATGGACAACATCCTGCACGAAGTGACGGCCATACGCCACTTCCTGGAGAAGAGGGACAGGTGCCGCGAGGTCGCCAAGGAGTGGCTGCAGGTGGGCTACGTGCTGGACGTGCTGCTCTTCAGGGTCTACCTGGTGGCCGTGGTGGCGTACAGCATCACGCTGGGCACGCTGTGGTCCGTGTGGCAGGTCGCCTGAGTCTCGCCCCTCTTAACCGCTGTGGACACGAGCTCAGCGGGGAGAGCGCTGAATTCAACGGGCCGGTTGTTGGCTCTACGCCCTGTGCAGCTCGGTGTAGAGGGAGGCACGTGTGTAGCGACCGGACAGGGAAAGGCTTCACCTGGTCGGGGGGGCGATGTACAAGTCAAGTAACCAAATATCCCGACGAGTATTATCGCTATTATGAACATTTTCGCTTTGACCAGAGAGTTTTAAAGTCGCGTTTGTGTGTGCGTTATGATATGTTTGTCCAAAGGCCTCACACACTTATAGATGTAATGAGTGTTCAACATTAAGACGGATTAACAACAATGACAGCAGCAGTAACGCAACGGGAAAGAAAGACTTCAACAAATACATTAATCGGGCAAAATGTTGAGTGTTTTGTATTTACTGAATTATGATAGAATTAATTAAAAAAAGAGCAACAGACCAGAAAGCATCATATCAAACACGGTAGTTTTGTCTGCTTGTGTTTCAGAAGCCTTGAAATAATCATATTTTGGGGTTTAATCAGCCAATTTAAAAACAAACATGGAATATCGTCACATTATTCAGTGCCTTCAAAAACAAAAACACCTGAAAAGCCAGAACATGTTTTGATAAAAGGTCCATCAATGACACAGTTTAAGAATGAAGAATGGACCAAGAGGCAGGCTGTTGAGATGTGGGACATTTAAAATATATATTTATTATTTATAAAGGTTAAACGTTGCAGTATACATCTACATCAATAAATAAGGTATATATTTACATTAAACAATATATGAACAATTGATATGGGTACATATAAGTATAGTATTAGTAAGTTATAAGGGCATATAACCGGTTTTGCACTACATGTATATTAAAGAAGCATTTGACTGCTTGTCCCCTTTCCTTGAATGTAGAATTTATATAGATATACATACAGATCATACAGATTAATTTAAGCCTATTATTAGTTTATTTAATAAATTATAAAGTGTGTAAAATGGTGAAAGCTTGTGAGGCTTCTACTACGTCAATATATGTTCAACGTCCCCTCATGTAATAAAATCTGTCCAAACACTCTGCTAGTGTTGAACGGGACTTGAATAACGTGTCTCAACAACAGATGTTTTCTGTGTTTTTTTATTTTGTTGCAAAGAAAATCCTGTACCACTTTCACCTTACTTTTAATGAAATGTTGTGTGGGCCACAATTAAAGGAATAAGAAAATGCGTGAATTGGTGATGATCAATTGCTAAACTGATCACTAACAATTACTGATATATTTAATTGCTCATTCTGTGACTTAAGTTGTTAGAATATTGATGCACAGACACACAGACAACCAGATAACTCCTGCAGTTCCACCCAGCAGCCAGAGGAGGGCGCCATGCACACCAGGGCCAGTCAACTATCACAGGTTAGTCTCGTTCCAGCACAGGGAGCGTGTCAATGAATGATAACATGAATTAACAATAAGTCGGCTTAATCAGGACAATACATAGGAAAATGTAGCCATTTGAGAAAGAATAAACAACCATGTGAAAGAAATACATTTTAAAAAAGCCCATCGCATTTGGCTCAGAAGAATCTGTATCGTCTCATGAATGTTGTTGCTATAGTTTTTTAAATCCTCACACCGGGTCACATGCAGGACCTGTTTTCAGATTAGTGTATCAATCAGAGATCTAAAGTGAGAGATGTCCTTCTCTCGACTCTATCCAAACATCCCTTTTTAAAACTGGACTTAAATCCCTTGTTTGCAAGAAGATTTCCACCGAATGAATACATAACAATGCAAGAGGAAAACTGTATCACTTAACCCAGAGAGTTTGGCATTCAGTCTGTTGAAAAATGAGCCCATCATGCTGTGTGAAGAGGGAATAGATAATGTTACTATTGCCAAAACACCTAAACTATAGCGAAACGCTGCTTCTTATGACAACAGCATGCATCCATCTGTGTATATTTACCCCCCTAACCAGCCATTGTATTAGTTGTATCAATACAAAAAATAAATATGTTTAATAATGTATGGTTTTAAGAATATTTAACATTCAGAACAGCCCCCCCCCCAAAAAAGGAACTCCAGGAACATAAACAATCCAGCCTGTAGATGTGTGGGTCAAAGATCAGTGGTGGAACCTCACGCTGCAACACAAAGGCCCTCCACTGTTCATATTACCGCCCCGACCACCATTCATCCCCCGGCCTTTCCTTCCTAAAACCCCGAGACGAGATCAAAGTCCCACTAAAGCAACAAGTCCAACTAAACCATTCACAATGACCGTTTCTCTCCTCTCATTTCCTGTTTTTCTTTTACGTCAAAGCAAAAGCAAAAAAAAAAAAAAGTTTAAATAGATGTATAAATAAATAACCACAGAGCTGCCATGTGTTTGGACCAAATACTTGGGAGTCAATGCATCCAAGTGGAGAGCTGCCTCATTAGTTTCAAATACACTGAAGTCAAGATATGATCCTGTGTGCCAAAGAGAGGAAATGAGCAAATATAGTGGTTTTATTGGGACGCTTTTGATGCGATGTTTGTTTTTCGCTGTACACACAGACGGTCTCGTCTCGTCGATAAAATCACAGCCGCCCGATGACGACGGCAATGCTTACCTCGCGCTACGCGGCCGGGCTGACGGCGCTCTCATTGGGACTTTGGGAGGAGAGGGTCATGAATGCAGGCTCAAAGACGAAGAGTGGGAATAATGCACTGTTGTGTGTTTCTTCAATACTGGAAAAAGCTTGTATATGAATTGTGCTGCAGAACAGCCCACTAACATCAAAAACGGGGGTCACCATTTTTTTTCGGCCCTCCATCACCGTTCAAACCTTTGCGTTTGTAGGGTTCGTCATCTGGGAAAGAAGAAAATGCTCACAATAATCCATATAAATGACTATTCTGATCAAACAGCATCGCACTCTTTTAATAGTTTATTGCACTTCTTTACGTGCTGCTGATTTGCATTGAGAATGAACAATATTATATATTAGGTATTGGATGATTTCTTTCAAAAGGCCTCAGCTGTTGATCTGCTAAATGACCTCACACTGGAACAAGACAAAGCATCGTTCAACACACGAAGCCGGCAGCGAAATAAAAAAGAAAAGACTCGCTTCCGCACGCACGGCCTGCGTATCTAACCACGGAAGACGTGACCTCTGTGGCTCAGACAAAAAGGCGCTGGGGCTCGAAGCGCTGCTGCAGTTACCAGCAGCTCATCACAGCCACGAAGCCGAGGACGTCCGTGAAAACACACAGCGAGCTTGTCGAAGGGCGAGTGGTGGTATTCGGTCAGGTGCTTCGCTTACGATGTTTCTTTTTATCGGCTTACGATACGCAGCCACCCACGACTCAACAAGCGGAATGTACACTAGATTAAGCACTCAGACAGCTTGTGTGGGGGGGGGGGGTATTTTTGAATGTCTTGTACAATGACCTTGAGCCGATTGCCTTCATGCATCGCTGGTTGTTCTGAAGGAAATGTGTGGAGAGACGCCTCACAGCCCATCGGTGTCTAGTCGGTGTGGTTTGGCGATTGTGGGTTGAGTGTAATTTTCTTTTTGTTTGTGTGATGACGCATTACATTTCATTATGTTTTTACATTATGAGCAGAAGCGGCCTTTTAAGAAGGTGTTCTTTAATTTAAAGGTTGTTGTTTTGATCTTTGGAGCTTTTCATAGGTGTTAATGTACCTCCTGGAGCTCACCTGTCAGTACCTGAATGAGCCTGACTGACACGTCGTGTAGCAGCGAGGGAAAAAGAGGTGATGAAGTGCCTGCAGGTATCGTGTTGAATCCCTATCAGACGGTGAAAAGCTGCAGCATCATCCCTAGTTGAGCGTGGGTTTCAAAAAAGATGCGATGAAGCGGCGACGTAATTTGATGTGTCGAACCCCTTCGTGTCAGTCTGCACGCAGTCGCCTGCTAGGCGCGAATTAACTCGCGGCGTGCACTAAAAGAAGACAATAAAGTATTTTCTCGGTTTGATTCAGTTCTGTTATTGTTGTTTATTAACCAACACACTACAGTTTTCTGCCATAACTGTTTGTGTTGCGAACAATGCATGTTCAGCACAAACATTGCACAAGACACACGTCCAGCTGACCACTCTTGAATTTAGAGATCAAATAAAATTGGAAAACAAAATTAAAAGTGTATCCTGAATGCATTGTTATGCGGTCATTATAGTTAAGGGATTTGTGCTCAATAAACTTTAGCAAAAACCATTTATGAACTTTACTTTGAAATAAACTAATTTTCAGCATTTGTTTCTTTCATATACTGCAAGCAGGCCGTTTCTTAAAGATTTTAAAGACATTTTTCAGTGTAATATTGGTGATGCATTGGTAGTCTTCACTTGTAAATGCAACCAAAGATTAGGTCATGTGACAAAGAGCTTTCCTACTCATCATGTTTGTGCTCCGAGCTGCTGCAGCATCAGATCTGCTAACAGTAACAACAGCGTTGACGCCTGGAAGAATGAACCTGATGCATACGAGATGAAAGAAAACCAATGAGAAAAAGTGTGTCACTAAACTCATACAAGGAGCCACTGCGGGAATTTCACCTTGAATACTACACCACCGAGTCCTTGAATAAAGAGGAGCAGAGACCTTTGCCAAGTAATTTAAAGTAAAGTAACTTTTCTAATACTTGATGTGTTGTCCATATTTGAAGTTTTGAGAAAACGCTGCAACGACAACATATAGTTTTTTTTTGGGAAAAGGCGGCTGTAGCAAACCGGTAATAAGTCTGCCTGCAGCTGTGACTACAAACAGCCATAATCGTTTGTGTTCATTACAACACTCACCCCTGATTACTTCTTCTGCATTTTAACAATAATTAAATAATGCAATGGAAATTACAGCAACAAACTTTTGAGACTGAAGTCTCGTTTTGGAATTTTGTGTCGGTAAAAGTGAATTGAAAGCAAGAAAAAACGACCTTTTTGCTGCGTTTTAGGCACACTGGAATTAAAATAGTTAAGATGTAATCAATCTCAAAGTATTTTTGGGGAGTCTTAGCAAAAATTCTGGATAACATTAAAGAGCAGATCAAAGACTGGCAACTACAAAGTGATTATTTTGTGGTAGATCTTAATTTAATCTTCTGTTCTTTAAAGAATTCAGGAGAAACAAATGGCGAGCCAGAAAGAGATCTAAGACAGGCATCATGAGGTCCATTTTTATTTTATATACAAGAGAACATCATGGCTTGATTTTTATTATGAGACTCATAAATAAAAATACAAACAGATCTCCACTCCAAAAACAATCTGTTAGGATGTAAAATGTATATTTTCACTATTAAAAAAGGCACAACATTGACTTAAGTGACAACATGGAGAAGAGAACCTGCAGCATTAAATCTTTTATTTTCCTTTTTATTTATTTTTTCACACTCCATCAGAGAACACTGACATGTTACAAAGAGAGGTGTCTGATTCTACATGGAAAAACAAAACAAAAAAGAACAACCTCTATATCAACAGACGGTGGCTATAGATTGGTGGCACAGCTCAACAGGAAACGTACTGCCACGGGAAAAAATAGCACGTTGTCGCTGGAAAAGACAAAGGACCTTTGCAAAGCTCTAATGCAAATTCAACAAAAGTACACAACTGACAACAATAGAACAAATTAAAGAAAATAAAAAAATAATAATTGGGCACCTTCTAAGATTAGGCTAAGATTAGGTGCTGAGGTAGACAAAAACTATAACAATTCAAATCATAACAAAAACACTATTTTCTTAATACAGAGCAACTTGACTGGCACTTGTGCTGTCACGACAATGGAGGAGAGAAGTAGCACAGACAAGCCGGGGAACGACAGAGAGAAAAGCTTTGTTACATAAAAAGCTTTGTTATGCTTGGTCCGACAGGGCAATTGGTCCTCAGTGCTATTATAAAAAAATACAACGTCTGGGTGCTTTGTTACTCAAAACAGTTTTTAGTCTAGACCTCGATGGCACATGCATCGCAACACTGCATGAAATGGCTGCTTTGTTCTAGAAACACCACACCGAAACACAGAGTGCCAGCTCCAGGGATGCCATGATTCCTCTCTGACACATTTCAACACCCCCCCCCCCCTTCTCAATGCGTTTTGTAGGAAAAAAAAAAAAACTGAAGCAAAGCCGAAGGGTAAAACCCAACTGCCAACCCACCCAATGGAGGTTTTCTTGCTTTTACTTTAATGCTTTCAAGAGAAGTACAAAGTTCTCATCAGCAAACTTGTTGCTGACAAAAAAAAAAAAAAAAGTAGAATAGACCCTCCGAGTGGAGAACCAGAGGGGGGGGGGGAGTGGGGGCTTTGTGTGCTTGCAGAAAAACACTCAAGGAGCAGATTTAGTGCACACAATTCTTGCCTCTGGCAGCCGGCCCGGCTTCCACTGAATCTCCCCGATGTTTGTTATGTGTCGCTGGATAAATGATTTTGGCCCGAGAAACGAATAGAATGCAGAATCGGAGTTGTGACTCGATGACGTTTGAGGGTTTATTGCGGTCCTTGAAAAGGATGCGCCTGCTCTTTATTAGAAAGAAAGAAAGAAAAAAAAAAAAAGAAGAATTGGGTCATTTTCGAGCGTCATGACATCCCTAGGGTGCTGGAGACACCACTTTTATTTTCTTCTGAAAATACGGAACCTAAGCAGATATAGATGGATATTTTTGTTGAACAAATTCCATTTTTAGGCACAAAGATAGTACAGAAACATCGGAGGAACACTGAGGGAAGAACTATATCGATGCCAATGTATATATATATATATACACACTGTATATTTTTTTCCAACATAGAGAAAAAAAAGTGGCATAGAGTATCATTTTATTCTGTATCCGATCTGATTAGTGCATTTTCCCACTAATACACACGCACACGCACGCACACACATAGTTACACACTCCTTTACGCACTCTTTCACCCGCACGAGAAAGTAGAAAACATTCAGAGGACGATGAGAGGACTAATGTGACTGATCAGGTCTTGCATCGTGGTGGTTCAGACTGGGTACACTTTAGTGGGTGGATATCGTACGAGGGGGGAAAAAAAGCCCCTCAGCTCACAGTGTTTGAGAATAAAATGGCAAGACACCACGGGACGTGCCATCCCTTCTTCTTTTTTTCCAAATACAAAAACAAAAAGACATGTCGACAGTCAAGTTTGATTGAAAAGTTGTAAATGACAAGTAATAATTGGTCGGTTAGGCAGCGGCGCCCCCTTCGCCCTCCTCCTCCTCCTCCTGGCGCCCCGTATTTTATCATACTTTTTTTTTTTTTTTTGCTCTTTCTTTTTCTTGTTTACTTTGTCACATACGGATAAACTTGTAAAATGTGTGGCGGTTAGATTTAGTCCTTCACCTACAATGCAATTGACATCCAGAAAGCAACACTTAATATTACAATATGTTCACACACATGTTTTTTTGTCCAACAATATCAAAGAGGAGCAAGGCAAAAATGATTCACACCCAGAGAGAGAAAAAAAAACAGGTAAAAAAAAAAAAGAAATACAAAGATTTGTGCCCTGCTGTAACCCTCCACAAATGGAAAAAAGGACCGACACTGAATACAAAAATATCACAATTTTTTATATCAAATTGCCTTTGTTGGCTCTTGTTCAGGAATACGCTCATTTCTCAAGGGAGCTTGTCAGCCGAGGCAATCTCTATTTTTAACCTTCTGGTTTTTTCTTTTTTGATTACGACTTGCAGTTCCAATTGTCCAACGCACTCTGCATCACTGCAAATACGACCTGTTCTGGGCGGTGCAGCGCTTCCCGATGAACCTGCTTTCTTTTTTTTTTTTTTCACATTACAAAACTACACTTCTATTCACATATTTTCAAGTTTTAATTCTTGTTTTTAAACCCTTCCTCTTATCTGCCGCATCCCTGTTACTCATCACTTAAGGCTTCAAAATTGCTTTTTTTTTTTTCTCTGCTCTTCCGTGGTTGGAGGTGCAAGGGGAGACTATAAGAGGAGAATAAACATCCATTTGAATTACTTTCCAAATCCTCTCAACCTCTACTTTTGTTATCTCTCAAGCTTTTATATACATTTTGCTTAAAAAACGCAGACAATCATAAATCAACTTTTGAAAAAAAAAAAAAGAAGAAGCATGAGATGAAGTAGCAATGAAGAAATAATGCAAAACACAAAAAAATGTGCTTTTGCCAAAAAATGAAGACAACTTAGAGGTAGCTTTTATAACAAACGACCAAACCTTCCGGCTCTTTAACAAGCAGGGTTAATAATACCAAGTTTGGTAACAAATAATGCACAAAGAAATACATAACGACAAAAGAAATCTCTTCACCGTGGCACTTAATTTTTCTGCGCGCACATTGCCTCATCACGTCGTGCAATGCATCTTTTACCGATGTACACTCAATGAAATAAAAAAGGGAAAATTAAAACACACAAGCAACATGAGGTCACAAAAGAAAGTAATTCAAGTACGATGTGTCAAGATCAAACTCAAGGTCAATAACAACAACAGCAATAACAGCAATAACAGCAACAACGACATCATCATCATCAACGACGGGAGACGAGACAGACGGAGCGCAGGGAAAACAAACACAGAGAAAGAGCTGATTTACTCTGTCGTCTTACTGGTCGCCCCCCCACTAAGCTGCTGGGCAGTGTGTCTGGTCCTATCAGTGATTTCCCCCTTTTCTCCACTGGCTATTTGGATAGGTGATCGCCGCGGTAACGCTGTGACATGCAGTGATGCTCATTAAAGCCGTGGGTTCAACCGTAATGGTCATCCGGGTGTAATGTTGCGTTTCAGAGACGTCAGAAATTCCCACCTCCTTCTCAACAAAATGAGCCTTCTAGCGACAGGCGGCACGCGTCATGTCAACGAGGGGGGGGAAGATGTGCACCATTTAAACTAAGCAACTACAACAAAGGGCCCTCGGATAACGCAAACGGCTGTGGGTCATGATTTCAGCTGATGCACTACTACACAGGGGACTTATCATAAAAAAAAAAAAAGAATGGTGCAATCCCACCTTATGCATGACATTTTTAATTTGAAGATCCTCACTGCCTTGATTATCAGACCCGTTCCAGCCCTCCAGTCGAACCGTTTTTTTTACCATTCTAATCGGATGGGGGGGAAAAACATATGAGCCAGCGCAAGGCGAGGAGAGTAAACGAGGACCTCTGAGATGGGAAATCCGGTTTTCTGACTCGCATTGAAAGGCAGCAATCCACCCGCTCTGCGTCACAGTCATTCACATTCACGTTTTGATGCCACACACAAAGGGGAGTGGGGGGGGGGGGCTAAGGCCTCCCCAGCCCTTCCTCAACATTCACAACGAGCGCTCGAAGTCACGGGACTCCTACGGAAAGCAGCCTTTAATTTCCTCATTTTGGCCTCCGTCCCTGTGGCGAACGGAGAGACCTGTCGCGGCGTTACAAAGTGTTACTGTTTACGTGTCAGTTTGTGTAGTTCATTAGTGTGAGATATTGATAGTCGTCTGGTTAAATGGATGTGGATACAAGTGGTAGCTGAGTAGGTGGATATGCTGGGTTTAATGTGGCATACTGTAATAGCCAGTTATCATTTAATGGAAAATATATATATTTATATAACTTGCAGACGTCAAACAGAGACTGTTGTCGTAATTTGTTGTACCTGTGCAATCAAGCCATGATAAACTGCGAGGCAGAGCTAAAAAGAAAATAAGAATACAAGATTGAAAAGTGACATAAGTCGGCTCCCTGGGGAGAACAGCCAGTGGTGACCCCCCGACCCCCCCCCCCCCAGCCGGCCCTCGTCCGGCCGAGACGCACGTCCAGGAAGACTGCCGACAAAACCAGGGGAGACTTCCAACGAAAAAAGCAGCACTAGACAAACAAAACAGGTGCTTTGATTGCACTATTTTAGTGCTCCCGTTCATCCAGTTCAACCGTCTCATCTGCTGCATCCGCCCACGAGGTGCGATGCAGATTCTCAGGGGCTATCTCACCGCCGCCGCCGCCGGGATCCGAAGGATCTCATGTATAAACAGCTCACACTGGCAGATTTCTGTCAAAACGGGGACGATCTGTGTAGGTAGAAATGACTGGAAGTTGCAAAACAGATGAATCTCCCATCGGGGATGGTCGCCCAAAGCAGTTTATTCTAACTTGCCAGCGTACGTTTATTTAATTCAGTTTGTATGGAGCGGCAACGCTGTTGGAAAACATGTCTCGGCTTCTGAAAGCCAGCAGTTCCTCAATTTTGGAAGGTATGACGCTCGCATGGGCATGTTGTTCACGTGATCCACACTAACATGACTCAGCAGGGCGAATGCGAACAAAAACATTTCGAAATACAACAAAAAATAATAATAATTCCCCCTAAATGGAGTGATGGCCAGCTTGTGCGTGTTCAGATAGCCCTTGAGAATCCGCCTTCTCACTCGCAGCAGAACCCTCCGAAAAAGTCACTTGCCGGCAGTCCGCTCGCTTTGTGCCGCTGCGTGAAATGACCTGAATCAATGACACAGTTTGCAGATGTAGTGAGTGACCCGGTGAATCCGAACTATGTTGGAAAAACTCTCTCCGCATTCCAAGTCTTCCTCTCCTTAGCACTTTTTGTCCCACTATCACCGCCCTTTAACCCCGCCGCCGCGTTTGCAAAGAAAAAAAGAAGAGACAAAAAAAAAGAGAAAAACAAACCCTCTTGCTTTCGGGTTTCATTCCTAAATCGCCATCCCTCCACTGCAGCCTCCTATTGGCTCCGTTACATTCCCCCTTACCTCTCGACCCCGCCTCCCCCCCAACACACCCACGCCCTCCCTCGCTCTCCGCTCACTCTCCCGGCCTCAGACGTAGCAGAGGTACAGGTAGGTCTTCTCGATGCGCCAGTCCGGGGGGACGTCTTCGGGCTTGTGGCCCTTCATGTGCTTCTGCATGGCGGACAGGCTGGGGCAGTAATCCAGGCAGATGGTGCATTGGTAGGGCGAGGCGCCGTTGTGGGTGCGCAGGTGCTTGATCATGGCCGAGTAGTCCCTGGATCGCTGGTGGCAAAGCTTGCACTCAAATGGCTTCTCACCTGAGGGGGGAGGAGGGGGGGGGGGGATAAGGGCAACAACCGGGTTAGCGACTGATGCTTTTTACTGCAGATTGGAATGCTGGCCAAAACCACATGAAGAAGAACCTCTGGGTAAGAAAAATAGTACTAAATATACACCGACATCCAAGACGGCCGCATATGAATATATGTTGCCAGTAAAAACCATCTCAGGGCTTCAGGAGAAACGGATGTCCCATTGCTACGAACCACGAGAAATTCCGGCGGCGTTCTGATAATTGGAAAGTGCACATAGTAAGTGACAAGACCACACTAACTATTTTAGGTCACTCCAACTGCCCCCATTAATTGGCGTAACTCAAAAAGAGACGGTGCAGTGGCGGTTATTTCGCCTCGGATGGACAGTGTGCACGTCAGGGCCATAAAACTACCCCCCAAAACCCCCCCAACCAGCTAACTATGATCTTCTAATTACTCGCGGTTGGGCGACACAATTCCTTTTGTGTTCAGCTGTTAGCAATTTTGCTGTTATTAAAAATACACTAATGTATTGAGATTTTGGAACCGTGCAAGGCTTTGTTTCCCTCCACATCTGCCGAGGGACGGAAGAAAAGGCAAAACAGACGTCCTGCTATTAAATATAATGTGAAAAATGGGGCCACGCAGAGAAGAACTCGGCAATCGCTATTTGGTTTGAATTCTTCCCGTAGCTCTCCTTTTGAAAGACCATCAAAAGACATCACTCGGGAGTGATGATATGGGAATGCAGATGACATCTATTTTTTCACGGCCTTTCTGACTTCATTGTAACAATGTCAGCATGTCCCCCCATCTGACTAATTGACCCTTTACCAAGTCCCGCCCCCCGCTGCTACCCCCCTCAAACTGTCAGAGTTACAATGGAACCCCCTGCATAAATTCGATCTGGATTTTGAAATGAAAGTGACAGGCAAAGGCTGTGAATGAGCACCAAAATATTTTTCAGTATAACTGCCGGTGAGATTAGTTGCTGATGGACAAAGAGATGCACACACATGTATGTACACATGGATAATAATAGCAAGTTAATAACAATAAAACTGAGCTGTAATTGGGGGAATATTGACACTGGTACTAGTACGAATAAAAGATGAGATCGAGATGTTCTATTTCTTTCATGAAATCACACTTAACCGATCTGGTACATTACACAAAACACGGCTCCTTCCGTGGAGAAAACCCGAAAGTGTCATAAATCAAAGTGTGGGGCTGCTCCATCGCTCTGGGGGCTGCTTATATTCAAGAGGCACATTTCATTTCAGCAGCCATCCCAAATGTGCTAATGATTTGAGCGATGGCAGGGAATAATCCGGCAGCGCTCACGCCGGCAGACGCAAATTAGACATGTAAATGCCGACCTTTACCAATGGCATTTGGAATGAGCTGTCGGATGTGATCTGGCCCGGAGCTCGCTGTCACCCTTCGGCTGGAGCCTGCTAAAAAAACGGGTGGCCTCGCGCCCGCACGCCGCTCGTCCTGGTTAACCTTGACCTCCGTGAGTGGGGGGGGTGGGGAGGGGGAGGCGCTGCCTCTTTCAGGCCAACGAGCGTAAACCGCGTGATATTGATAAGCAGACAGTAAACAAGTTCGCCTCACATAACTAGCTAATAATGAATTGCAAATGAGGCCCCGGTATTGATCCGGCATTGGCATTTCGGATGTGTGAAAAGAAGGAGAGGGGGGCGTGGGGGGGGGTGTCGCGGCGGGCCCGGGGCCGTGATTTCGCGTTGCCGACGTCGATGATTCATCAAGCAGCTCCCTTTTGTGCGATGTGGCCTTTGACTGTGAGCTTGTCACTGGCTCTTGTTATCTGCTGTTGCTCTCCGGCTTAACGAAAAGCGCCAACCACCCCCCTCGCGCCCTCTCCCCCCCCCACACAAAAGGGGAAAGGGTGGACGGGGCGAAGCCAATTATTGGACAGGCTGCCTTGATAGTGTGGCTTAACAGCTGGCTTATTGAATGGGAGATGGGAGTGTGCTACACGCGTGTGCGTGTGTCAGAGGGGGAAAAAAAGAGATGGTGAGGAAGCATAAAGCCTTGGCGCCGCGCCATCCCGGTGAGCACTCACGATACCCTCGCTCTGTCTGCTACGCGGCGTGCACTCGTTCTCCAGGGCGACCAGCTTATCACCGTGTCAACATCTTTATGGGGCTCTAAATATACTGGGATCAATACCAAGTCTTGGGCGACATTCATCTACTGTATCACAGCAACAAAGACATTTGTCTGCTCCGCGCCGTGCTTTTGCGACTACAACAGGGTCCTTTTCAGAGCTGAAGCCGTATCAACATTTAACACTCTTATCATGAGTGGATACGAGACATAATGAGATAATGATATAATATCATCATATAGTATATAACGATAGGAATCAAATTAGGAAAAAGTGGGAGAATGGGACGACGTCTCACTAACACTATTTCAAAAGTGTATATTTGAAAGAAAATGTGTTCCTGGGGATTGTTCATCTTGTTAGTGGTTAGCTTAGCATAAAGGCTGTAAGTAGGAGAAAACAGCTGGCCCGGGCTAAACCGGACATCTACCGACTGCTCTCCAGCTCGCTAATCAACCGAATCTCGGGTGTTCGATGAAGGATGGTTGTTTGAGAGGAAGTTATACCCACGAAACCGTCTTTGCAAACGAAAGCCGCAGCTTCCCGGCATTGTTTTTTTTTTGCCACAGTGAGGCTGTCAGGTTTGATCCCGTTGTGCCTGCAAAGAGACTGGCAACACTTGTGCTGTAGCTTTGGATGCTCTGCATAGAAGGTCACATAAATCCCACAAGCATTTTCCGATCCTTCCATCATCAACGTGAATACGTTTTTTTTTTTTCCCCCGCTCATGCTTTGTGGCAAAACACCGTTGCCGTCACAGTACCTGTGTGCACGCGGTAGTGGGTCTCCAGCTGGTGCTTCAGGCTGAACTTCTTCCCGCAGCCGTTACATTCGTAGGGCTTCTCCCCGGTGTGGATGCGCTTGTGGCCCTTCAACGTGCTCTCATCTCGGAAGCAGCTCCCGCAGAACTCGCACTCGTATGGATGGTCCCCCGCTGCAATGTGGAGAGGCAGAAGCAAAGCTGACATCATCGGCACGCTAAATCTTCACACTTCACACTCACCCGCGAGCATATAAACATTCCACTTTGATACCTGAAGAGAGAAACGTGGCGGAATGTTTCCTTTTCCGATGGTTTGTGGCGGGCACAACGCCGGAACAATAACGGCTTTAATACGACGTGACCCGTCTGTTGTCTTCTCTACTAATCACCTGCGCTGTTGCTCGCTTTGTGTAGAGTAATCGCAGCCTGTCAAGGCTGTTCATGAGATGTGTTATTGACCAGTCTGTCCTACTCTCACAGTCCACTGATAGAGATAACCGATTAACTGCATTTGCGACTGAACTGCTAACACACCAGATTATTCCATTGTATATTAGATTTATCCCATTGAATCAAATTGGTGCTCGTCTTTTTAATATCTTACTTTATGCCTTTTTGTTTTATCTAAAGCACATTAAATTTCCTTATTGCTTGAAAAGTGCTTCACAAATAAACCCGGGCGTGCCTTTGGTTCAAGAACCCCCAAACACTCCATCATGGCAGATGGCTGTTTAATGAAGGCTGTCAGAAATGCAAGGATTTAAGTACATCTGGACGTAGCAGCCAATCACGGCCCTTTATCTGTTTGGGGTTGAATGTTTCGGCAGGCTAACGAGGGGAAGAAAGAGGGCCGCCGGGTGGTTTCATTTACTTTATTTGGATCTGCATCTTGCTCTAAATGAACTCTCTGATACGCCAGCTTTCTGACGAACACGATACATTGCTTGGAAAGAAGTATTTTGACCGGCCGTGAAGAGGAGATTAAATGGACAGATATAGGGAACAATGCGCCAAGGTATGTAGTTTATTTTCACTGTGGAGCGGGGGAGGGATGGGAGGGGGTCATTTTCCAACAAAAAGGAGATTCAGGTGGAAATAATTCCACTGTATCTTTACATTGCAAATAGATGTCTCACAAATCAATGTCCTCTGAAAATAAATATATATATATACACACACACCATTTAATCTTCATGTATGGCCTCATTGTCAGCACACAATCTATTTGTATTCATGACTGCTCTGCCTAATGCTTTCACACTGGGTAAATGTATACTTCACGCTTCATTTACGGAGCGTCACATCAGACGGCGAGCTGCCTGTGGATGTACAGTACGCGTGTCTCCAGAAAGGCAAATGACAACAGGCTTTTTCATCTCTCTCCTCGGGCTGATGGCGCACAGGGGAGAGCTGTAATGGATATTCAGATGTCAATAATCAGGGATATTATGATTTGCAGGAGGCCCTCACCAGCTGTCCAACTGTTCCTTGCACCACTTGCCCGCCCCCCCCCCCCCCCACATTGCTTACACTCTCCGGTGGATTTTTGGTAATGTATTTCACACCAGCGCTGCAGGCTTAAGTCACCATCAATGACCTATGCCTTTCATTATCTGCCTGTCCGAGCGGCAACGTGCTCGGGAATAAATTGCATTTCTCGTTACGTGCCGCTGCCGCTGCTGTGGAGAGACGATTTCACTCCCATCTTGCATATTTCATTGAATGCCTGTCTACAGTATGCATGTGCTTGTTTGGATTATTTAGGAGGAGTGACCGTCAGAGGTGATGAAAGGGGGATGATTCAATGTACTGGTGTGCTATACTTTCATGAAAAAAAGCGTTTTCTCTGCCTTGTGATGTTGGACGCCAACCCATTAAAGAGAAGCTTTGACGGGGATGGAGGTGTGTGTGTGTGGGGAGGGGCACGGGGTTAAAACTGAGACAGGGATGGAGCAAGGGGACGTGGGTGTACGGCGGCGGCGGCGGCCGGGAGCCGGGTTAAAAATCAATAAATGTGACAGCCTTTATTCGTCTGCGTGAAGTTATCAGCGGCTCCCCGCTGTAAGACATTCTGCTCTTTCTGCCGTTTCAAACCGCAGCAGAGATCACAATCCATCACGGAGCGCGGTGGGCTCGCACGACGCCGCTGGAATAATAATTGAGCTCAGATTCACCTGCCTTTAATTAGGGCCCGCGATCAGACGGGCGAGTGGGATGCGAATACTCAAGAGGACGCCGGTGTTATTTACGCTTAACGCCCTGCTGCTGCGGCAGCCTCTGCTGTTCGCAAACTTCATCATGCTTTTTTTCACGTTTCAATACAATTTTTATTTTTGTTTTGTAGAATTTTAATACACCAGTGTGTATAAACCACATTTACATCAGTGCTGACGGGTTTCTTTCATTCCAGAAGGCTACTGAAAAAGAATGTTATAAAAAAAACATTGGTCTTTTACAAATTGGGACTTTATTGCTCCATTCGGTGACAACGTGGCATTTCGACCCACTTGAACTCTCTCGTGCCGGCGTCCAAGCCCTCTGCTCATCCTCCAAAAAGAACCTCGACACCATCCTCACCAACACCGCTGCTGTGCACCCACAGTTGCTTGTGTGGCATAACGGCGCTCGGTCTCATAACATGCAGAGTGGCTGCTGTGTCGTGTCCCGCGTGCTATCTCCCGTAGCCACTCGGTGACGCCAAAGTGCAAAGATACGCCGCGCAGAGCCGTCCATAAAGCAGACACAATTCTATGATCACATGGCGAGGAGGGCCAGACAGGATTTCTATAAAGTCAGGATATTCCCACAGGGGGCGTGAAAAATAAATGGGCACATGTCCTCTGTTCCATCCAAAAATCTGTCGCCTAGTACTTTCTTCCCCTCCGTCTGTCCTCTCATCCCTGTTTTTCCTCCCCCACCCACCCACCCACCCACCCACCCTCTCTCTCTCTCTCTCTCTCTCTCCCCTCCTAAGGTGTGACCACATGGCAGAGAGGCCGCCGATGAGGACTCGGCACAGTGAGGTGGAACCAAAGCCGCGGTGAGTGGACCCTCGGGTGCCCCCGAGCATCCCCACCTGCATCTCCAGACCCCTTCTGCGTGCACCTGCGCCTCTACAGTCACAGCGCCTCCTCCCTCTCACCTCCCTCGACACCCAAAAGGGCTGCCGAGGGTGCCTGTGCCCGCGGGGCACCCGGGGCGGGTTCATTATACACGGTAAGAGGCTGTAAATCACCGGGCTCCATCACTGCCAGGACAAGAACTGGCTCTCCTTAAATTCAATTCATTCCCCTCTCTCTCTCTCTCTCTCTCTCTCTGGCTACAGCGCTATCAAATACAGCTGCGAACACAAAACACCCGCCACAGCAGAGAGCAAATTGGCTCTGAGTAAAAAAAAAAAAAAAGAAAACACACAGACACTTACACACAGACAGTGCACAACAACGGAATATTAATGAAGGCCTGGTCTGTAAGGAGAGTGTGTATGTGTGGGGGGGGTGTTAGGGAAGGGGAATAGCACAGCTGCCATGGCTGCCACCATCAGAAGCCCAAATTGTGTGTTTGAACCTACACTGTAGTGTGCACGCGTGCGGTGAAGAAATAGGAACACAATAACGGGGCAGCATGGAGCCGAGAGTGTGCAATATCCTGGCATGTGAGGAGAAGGTGATGAAACTGCAGGTGGAGGGAGGAAAATGACGAAAAAGAAACGCATTGAGGGAGAGCGGGAGAGATGGCATGATTAAGATGCTGGAAAAAAAAAAAAAACACCATTAAATCCTTTTTTTTTCTTCTTTTCTCCCCCACCGTCGTCCTAAATGGTGATCCAGTGTCACAGGCTGCACCGGCGGGGCTGCTCTCCATAGATAAGCCAGCAGACAGGTAAAATGAAGCACACATAATGCGTGTCTATGAAAGGGCTTTTTGTTGCTTTCTATCGGCGTCTGATACGAAAGCGGCGATTCGACCAATAACCGGAGAGCTGGAAGGCTCTCCGTGCTCGATGAGCTGCCACAATATCACCATTAAAATTTAGGGGGAAAAAGATGTAGATCTTGAGGAAGTGTTGCCGACATTTACCCATTTGTTCTTAGAAAAATACCGGCAGGCGCCGATGACTTATTGCACCTTTGTATACGTTCATATGCTAAAGACCTGAAATACTATAATTATTACGCCGATACAACTTGATTCAGTTTGAATCTATTTCATTTTCAAACATTATATAAAAAAAATGTCTGGCTTTGAAATGAATATATACACATGCAGTATTTTGTATAATAGGTGTTCATATCACACCTTTTTAAAATGTTTTCTTACTTTAAATGGCAAATTAAATGAATTAATTAAGAATGAATGAAAACAAAAATATGTAAACACGAACTTTGCAGCTGATGGAACAGGCGGCTGAATGACCGTATGCAGGTCGAGGGGAAGATCAGTGACATTTATTCAGGAAGGAAATAAAAGCACTGCCTAATACTAATGCAAGTCTTTTGGGTAAAAAAGCTCTATATTATTTATCTTTTAATTTAGAGTGAACATTTTCTTAAAAAGACACTAATAGTCTCAATACTTGAAACCAATAAAAGTCAAATAAAGTTCATGAGAACTACTTATTTTGCTGTAATAGTAGCATTTAAAACAATATTGCTTTGGCTGAAGGGCCCCTACTTGTATCGTGTCCTCCCATGTCCAGCCTTGTTAAAGACACTTCTTTTGTATTTTGGATCCAGAAATAAAGCATTGGATGAACCTTGATGGATAATTCTCTGTATAAAACGTGCAGGCAGCTGGCCTGAGGTGGACACCCCATGTAGCCCTGTTGGTTTTTAACCAACAACGCGTGCATGAGATTATTAACATCAAAGTCTTAACGTAGAGGAACACCATGCTGGCCTTTTTTTTTGTCTTTTAAAGGGTAAATTAGGACCTATTTCTGGCTCCTATTACGGCTGTCTGAGTGGCTGACTTTATAATCCCCTAACAAAAGGCCCCACGTCATATTTAAACGATTGCTTTGGCGGCAGGCTCGTTGTGATTTAACACACGGCCGCAGCGGGACGCGGTTCAACGTGGCACGAGGCTGCGAGAGTCTCGTCTGCGGGCCCCAGAGACGGGCCGGGGTGACATTTGCGTCGCCCGGGTGGGCAGGTGGATCAGAGGCGACGCTTTTGTCCTCTCCAATGTCTGCTAGACGGAGCAGATGGGGTGCATTGCTACTGTACAGACGGCTCAGGCAGCTCTGCCTCCCCCCTCCCTTCCATCCCGCCTCCCCCCACCATCGCACACTAATGGCGTGTTCGCCCGACTTGTAAATAGGGCCGACTGCTCTCATCTCACTCCTTTCGTTTCAAATATTTATCCGTGAGCCGGTGAGCTAAATCGGCTCTGACAGTGAGACTGTTATTTAAGGTCGCAGACAGGCGGGCTGGATGAGAGAGAGAGAGAGAGAGAAGAAAAAACCCATCCATCCCTCCCTGCTGAAATGGGATTCATTTCCATGTGTTCATATTCTGTCATGGTTAGGGTTTTTCCATCCGTCAGGCTACCTCTGCTCCCTCCCAACAATGTATTAGTGCCGTGGCCTCGCCAGAGAGCAGCTCTGGGGGAATTAAGAGTGGACGGGAAAAACAACAACAACAAAAATGCTCACTGTAAATCAGCTCCGTCCGACTGCTGCAGAATTAATTTTGGGCTGACCTGAATTAATGTTGTTTATTCAGCTGAGCTAGAGGAAACGTAGGGATAACATAATTCACTCCCATTTCCCAAAATAAAACATGCCTTCTTACGTATTGTAAGCTATGTTTGTCCATTGCAATCCTGTTATTGCAGGTGCATTCCTACTATTCCTACTACTATTTTACTACCACAACACACCAGAGTGGGAGGTTGGAGAAAAAAAAACAATATACGTGAAAGCCCAAAGGATTGTACAAAAAACTGAAAATGTAAAAAAACAAAATGCATATCCGAGAAAGGGCCTATGCGGGAGTTTCTTTGTAATAAACAGGTCCCTGCTGTAAGCTCTTTATCATGTCAGTTGATATTGTGTGTTAGTGGAGCATATTAACATTTACCCAAACAGCTGAAATGAATCATTACACCAAAATCCTTCTGCCGCACAGTGACCCTGGGGCAAATGTTAATCCAGCATTTGCTATCAAGCAACATAATGATGATCATCACACATCATAAAATTGAGACTGTCTTTAACTATTCATTAAGTCAAGGTCGTGTTCAAATTATTTAAAGGTTAAAAAACGTTTTTTTGTGCTGATTTGCCCCGTATTCTTAACTTGGATGGGACTTCTGTGTTAAAGCTCCACTCAGATACTAACGTCTTAACTCTTTTCAAATAGGTTGATTAAGAATGTGAGGACTAAAATCTTTAAAATAGCACTGATTTCTGTAACAGTCTGCTCTGCTCTATTAGAAGAAACAGAATACATTCTGTGAGGGCAGAAAAATGGTGACGCAAGTCCGCTGCAAATTCCTATTTGAGCACCTGAGGCGCCGATTTAAATTGGGTTGGACCAATAGGGAGGAATTATTAGCAGGTGTTGCAGGAGCTAGCAAGTATGGCGGAAAGCAGTCTGCAGGACGGGGCATCCAGTGTTGTGGTTGCAGATTGCAACCAACAGATCACCCTGTGGGTCACTCCTCTCTTTCCAAGACCAGAGCAAAGTATGTGAGACGCCGGCACTATTTGGCTGACGTTGCAGCAGTGTTAGAAGTGTTCCCGGAGAACTACGGTGGCCCTTGCCTGGTGTAAAAACATGCAAAGCATTGTCTAGTGAGAGGGGATGGAGTAAGCAGGTATATGTATCCTTTCAGGGCTCCCGTGGAAACATGGCGGTGCAACACCACAGACTCTGTGAAGAGTGACCCCGCTCCATGTAAAAAACAGCTGATTGCACCGATGACACTTGACTGTGGATACGAGTGGTACGTTTACTTCAGAGGAAGAATCCTAGACGCCAGGAGAGTGCTGAATAAGAGCTCCTGCGACCTCACGTGAAAGGGAGCCGCGTGTGGTGGAAGGTTTTTGAGACCAGTCAACGACGTCTCTCAGAGGCTAGTTCAGATGTTCGAGTTTTAAAATTGGAGATGACCTACAGTTAAGGGTTGAGGGAGAACGTGTTGAAGTGTTGACATGCGTCGAAAATGAAGAGATGGATACACATCGTGGAGCAAGCCAACGCTTCCCCTTCGCAGCCCCGGTGAACCTGAGGCGCCATCGCCGAAGTACCCGGGCCGGTTGGCGAGCGCTTCCACTGACCTGTGTGGGAGCGGAGGTGGCGCTTGAGTGCAGTGTGGCTGGGGAAAGTCCGGTTGCATTCACTGCAAATGTAGCTGCGAACGCCGGCGTGGACTTCCATGTGCTGCTGCAGCGCCGGCTGCGTCTGGAAACGCTTCCCGCAGAGCAGGCAAAAGATGGCCATGTCGGACCCTGCAGGGCAAAAGACACAATGTGATGAGTTGGGGTTGAAAAGCAGTGTTTTACTTCAAACAGCAACAGATTCTTTGGGTGCTGTTTTAGTAGTTTCCGCTTTTTCCCTTCTTTCTAGGGACGTCCACACCTAATGTGTGGGAAAAATCAGAGGCAAAAGAAACCTAAACGGCACGTCAGGGCAGATCCACAGCGACAAGTTCCCGCTTTGCTCAAACAAATCGCTACAAAAGGTTGCACACGCTCGCAGTGATTAAGACACAGGATAAGCAACAACTCAGGTGTGATTTCATGGGCTCAGACGTGGAGCGTTTTACAAACTTTCCTTCTTAGGCCGACATGCAGCACACTGTATTTATAGGATTAAAGGTGCAAACTGAACTGAGCGGCTGTGTAGAAGATAAAGATCTCCTATGCAATGCTTCAATCGAATCTAGACTCTGGCGAGCACTGTGCATTTTTCTCCTGCAGAGATAAAGAGCGCACAGTTGCAAGCACACAAACAACAAAAATCACAAACCTCGGAACAGACACACGCACACAGCTGCACGCTGCCTTGAACACACTCCCTTCACACTTTTTCAATTACCAGACTGGGGAAAACTCTGGGGAAGGACTGAGTGTTTGGAGCTCAGTTTCTATTTCATCAGTCAATAACACATCTTTGGGGCAAAGCTGACACTAATTTAAAAATCTACGAAGAGCAGCCCGCCTCATGTTCATAACCACTGGAGGAGGAGGAGGGCCCACGACAGCCTCCTCGCCAGATCAATCACTGTCTCTGCTGCTCCACACGCTAAGGAACAGGGATGGAGGGAAGATGCACCGCTGGAGGAGAAAGAGGAGGAGGAGGATGATGGGAGGAAGGATAGAGAAGGATTGCAGGTAAAGATATGAGATTCGGTTTGTAGTAGAGGAGGCTGATGTACATATCCAAGAGGGCGAAAGACAACATCTAATTTCGGCGCACAGGGGAGGGAAGTGAAATAAATATTGACAAACCTCCCCTCTCCGACTGTCTGTATGTTTCATTCTCTGACGTACAGGAGGGAAAGTGTGTCTGCGGTGTAGAGCGTTCATTAGATCCTCGCTGAACACATGGCTGAAAGCCTGAGATACTAATCTGTCAGCACTACAGGTGAGGAGGACCCAACCCTTTTCTCCAGGCTCACCATCAGGGCACATCTCACACTTTCACACGAGGTATATTAAAAAGCATTGGGCAGACGGTGCTGAGCACCTTCAGGCTTCCTTGAGCATGAACCGCTCTGGTCCAACGGCACCACGGAGTTTCCTCCGGCTCCACTCTCAGGACAAACATCATAGCAGAAATCACATCGCAACCTTAACAGCAAAAATGTTACCGCGTGAATGCAACCGCTTTCACGCACGTGACTGCCAAGCTAGTTTTCTCCTGTGTTGTGTTTTTCTCTCCTGCCTCTTTTCTCCAGCACTCTGCTTTTATCAATGAAGAGGCTATTGACTGCGGTCGACTGCTGCTGGAATCCCTCTAGGACTCCAGGTACTTAAGTGGCTTTGATTGACAGGCCTGCCCCCTATTTACTTCTATTATCTCTCTACCTCACTCCCTCTCGCTCGCTCTTGTTGCACCGTGTGTGTTACGCTCGGCACCGTCAGTGGACCACCACAAGCAGAGGGCTTCTTTCTCCGGGCCGCTCCGGGCCCAATGATTCATGGTCAAAAAGGAAGACGTCGTTATTGCCGTTTTGGGAAAAAATGTTTCCAAGTGGTCTGAATGCGGAATAAGTGAAAATGGTTGAGCGGGAAGAAGGAGGGGTAGACTTTGATCAAAGACGGGGAAATAGTGGGAAAAAAAAGGTTTAGGAATGTAAGAGGTTATCAGACCTTTGACCTAAGGTCTTAGCGAAGGCGTGGACGAAATATGAAACGAGATCAACACACACACACACACTTTCAAATCAGAGTGGTTACAATGGCGAAGCTACCAAACAGAACAAAGCTAATGATTACAAATGGGATTTAATCCACATGTTAATTTATACCTTAAAGCCTAATTTAACTCACTTAAGTGAGAACATCTCTGCCTTACTTGGGTAGTACCAGGTGCCCCGTTATGGTCACGTCATAAGACAACAACTGGCCACATCTGGGCGAGTTTGCTTACATCTGCATCCTTGCGTTCCAGCGTCTTATGTGGCAACAAGCTACACTTGTTGCTCGCCAGCATTTCTCCTTCTTTTCAGACGGTAAACCACAGCTTAAGTGTAGTGCGAACCCGGGTTAGTATTAAACTAAATTAAGTGGTACGCGCTGTACAGCCAGTGCAGGGAACAACGCGTGCGCGCCGCGGGTAAGTGAGTAAAGGTGTTGTCGGCCGCTGATGGATGAAGAGAGCAGCGGGAAGATAAAAGCGGCGAAGGAGAGGAGGGAGAAAAAGCAGTTGACCCGGGAGGTCCATTACAGTGTAGAATTGAGTCGGGCCCAAAGTGACACCTGAAAAGAGGAGCCGCAGCGGCCGGCAGAGTGGTGGTGGGGGTTCTTAGTCTCAGTCCTGTTTGCCTGTTTTGGAATAATTTACCCGCTAACCAGCCTCTCTCCGGCCATCTATTTATAGAGGTCGGGGGCAGCTTGTGGCCGTTTGCGTGCGTGTGCGTGCGTGTGAGGCCGCGGCAGTGCCGGCAGTGTCTTAATGGGCCGGGAGTGGCAGGGCTGCTGTTATTTAAGTAGAGGACGGACAGAGCCTGGTAATGGAGAGGAATACTCCCCGATGGGAGGTGACACTAGCCGGATGGGCAGCGAGCAGAGAATTGGGGTAGAGGCCGGCCATGGATTGAGGCACTTTTACTGATTGTGATGTGCAGCGCGGTAACTAAGCAACCAGCTAGACCTCAGGAGAAGAGATCTGTTTGTGGCCTAAAATTAATGACTTTTAAATCGGGTATTAAAAAGAGACTTTGAGTTGAAGTTTTTTTTGTAATCAGTGATTTTGGTCAACTGACTCACGAAACGGTGAGCAGTGAAACCACAGATTCCCCCAGACACCTAAAAAGTGGTTAAACGCCTCGCTGTCATTCCCTCCTAGCTGAACAAGTGAAACACAATATTTCTCACACCCAACATCCGGAAACAAAACACGCAGAACTATTTTCTTCAGGTGGCTTTCGAGCCGAACAGCGGAGGCGACGAACGCCGTCTGTGGCCCACGATGCAGCGTGGCGAACGGAGGACCCGCCAGAGGTAACGAGGCGGAGCGCAGCGGGACGTCAGCACACGGTGTTCAATCACAGGCCATTACCACAGCACCCGACCTCCGTTACGGTCCGCTCCCGTCAATAGCAATCCATAACGGTCTATGGTTCATCTATAGACAGGGGGACTAAATGTTGCGTGTATGTCGTTACATCTCAACGTGACGCCCAACAGCAGAAACGGGATCCCACCGTCGCTGCCTTCATGTGATGCTCGTCTTTAAACGGCAAATTAAAATGTACCTACTAAGCTTTATTAATAACTTGTTTTATTGAGTGTAATTCGTTACGTTATGTTGTTGTTGTTGTTCAAGCTGCTTCTCTACCATCACGGCTATCAAAGCTTTTAATTAACACATTTACGTTTAATTAACGTTGTTATTTTCTTGCATTGGTCTAAAAATGTTAAATGACTTCATTGTTTTAGTCTTTTGTGATGTTTTCAGCGGTCAGCCATCCGTCATCACTTTGACCGGCACTAACTTGCGAGAAAGGTGCTTTCAGAAAAGCTTCGATTGATCAGAATGAGCTTTTGTGAGTTTCATCTCTCATAAACATGATTCATCTCAAGCTTGAGTGCTATTGACCGGAAAACAAATAGAATCTCTTTCAAAAGGTGGTTGAAAGCTATTGAAAAAAAAAGAAAGAAGAAAAAGACCAAGGATATAAGATTTAGGATAATTTTGTCAAAAAATAAATGATAATAGTCTAAACGACCTCACTAGCCTAATGCATTTCTATACGTATCTATAATAGCTCCAATAGGAACTGGGTCAATTCCTTCCCTTCTCTCCTTGGACCATCCAGTCACTACAATCCATCCAAGCGGGGGGGCTCCGCTGGCTGCACCATCGCCACAAACAGCGGCGCTGCGTTTCGGCGGAGGACGGAGCGGGGAACAGAAAGCGGAGGCGACGCTCCTGCTGCTCTCTCCACACAACAAGTGTCTGTTGTTACTCTCATCCGCAATCACGAATCATCGCACGTCGGTTCGCCGCAGTTGCGAAAAGGTCGTCGAGGAATTTCTTTTTTACCTCCAGCTTCACGGGTGTCACCTGAGAAATGGATCATAAGAATAAGTGCCTTCTATGATTTACTCTCGTAGGGATGTGAAAAGGTCCCCGATGAAGTGTCGTGGTGCTGACCCCCCCGTGGGCAACCGATACCGCCTGTAACGGGGCGAGGAAAAAAGCCCCCCACCCACTCTGCGAATAAATGCACGGGGACCTCGGCCACGACCGCCAACTACTGCGCTTGCAGAACAAACATGGGGACAGCACCGTTGCCACACAGGCTGGGTTACGTCACTGGGTTTTGTTTCATCTTTGTAGCAAGCAAAGGGCAAAAAGGTTCTAACTCGACGAACATGATGCTTGAACTTCCAGACGTATGAAAGGTTTCATTCGGAATGCATTGCCAAGGGAACCCTAAAAATACCATGCGCTGTAATGGGAACTAATTTTCTCCGACTGACAGCTGAAATAAAACTAATTCCTTTTAACTCCCGAGCGATCCGCAGCATGCGCGATTCCCTCATTACACGAGAATCAATCAACAGTTTGACCGACTCTCACCATCACCTCCTCCTGAGCCTTTGAATCACACTGGTCAACACGCGGCGTGTTCCAACCGTCAACTTGGTCGCTGATGGAGGGAACCACATTTGTTTTCAACACTGGAAGCGAAGACATCAAGACGCACACACAAAAACATTTTAGAACTTGCGTAGGTTTGGATTGACCCTGCAGCCAAGCTGCCACACACGGTGCT